ACGGAGGAGGAGAAGCTGACTGCGGCAGGATTATGTTTGGAAGGGAAGAAAATTGCTTGGTACCAATGGCGTGAAAGGAGGGAGCCCATTCGCTCTTGGAAGGAGTTCAAAGAAACCTTACTAGAACGTTTCTGAGCCGATATGGGAGGAGACTTCTATGAGCAATTCTTTGCCTTAACTCAGGAGGGGACCGTGGCCGACTACCGCGACTGGTTCGAGTACTTGGCCAGCAGATTAGATCATATCTCAGAGACAACTTTGGTGGGAAACTTTATGAAAGGGCTTAAATCAGAGATACGGGCAACAATTAGAGTTTTGAAGCCAAGGAACCTGGGGAAAGCCATGGAGCTGGCACAATTGGTGGAAGAACAAAGGAAGATGGAGAGAGTGGCTAGAAGCAGCTATTCATGGGGCTCACACCGAATGACTACCACCATTTTACCTTTGAAGGGATCAGTACCAAGGAGTCAGAAGGAAGTGCCTAAGGAGAAAATTGGAGAGGGAAACAAGGGAAACTTCAAAAGGCTAACTGAGAAGGAGATAAAAGAGAAGAGGGCCAAGGGGTTGTGTTTTAGGTGTGATAAGAAGTACATGCCAGGACATAGGTGCAAGAATCAAACTCTTCTGGTTCTCACCGTCTGTGATGACGATGAAGTTGAAGAGGGAGGTGGAAGTGGTTTAGAGACGGAGGAAGAAGAGAAGATGCATCTGGATGTGACAGAAGTCTCCCTGAACTCAGTAGTGGGATTCACTCCGAATCACACTATGAAAGTGAAGGGAGAGATAGCTGATAAGGAGGTAGTGGTGCTGATAGATAGACAGGAAACATGCAATTTCATTTCTATCCAAATAGTTGATCTGCTTGGAATGGAATTAGTGGACACGGGAGGATATGGAGTGATGATGGGAACGGGGAAGGTGGAGATGGGCAGAGGTGTATGTAAGAGAGTAGTATTGATGATTCAGGGGATCCAGGTGAGGGAGGACTTTCTTCCCTTGGAGTTGGGAAGCACTGATGTCATCTTGGAGATGAAATAGCTACAGTCTTTGGGAGATACCAAGGTAAATTGGGGAACATTGAAGATGGAGCTGGTGGTTAAGGGGAAGAAGAGGGTGATTTAGGGTGATACAGGGCTAACTAAGACTGGGGTATCTCTCAAGTCTATGATTAGGACCTTAGAAGAAGTGGGAGGAGGATACTTGGTGGAGATGCATCCCCTGGAAGTGGTCAGAATAGAGGAAGAGGGAAACATTTCCTCTTTAGTGTATCCACTCATACAACAGTTCAGCGAGGTTTTTCAACCTCCTCAGGGCTTGCCACCACATAGAGAGTTGGAGCATGCCATCACTTTGAAGGAAGGGGAGACACCTATTAGCATTTGTCCCTATCGCTATCCTCAGATTCAGAAGTTGAGATTGAAAAATTGATCCGGGAGATGTTGGAAGCTGGGATCATCAGTCCAAGTGTGAATCCTTTTTCCAATCTAGTCCTGGTCAAAAAGAAGGATGGAAGTTGGCGTTTCTGTGTGGAGTACAGAGCTCTGAATAAGGGGATAGTGTCAGATAAGTTTCCAATTCTGGTAAGTGATGAGCTCTTGGACGAGCTATATGGGGTAGTGATGTTTTCTAAGTTAGACTTAAAATTCGGGTACCACCAGATCCGAATGAGAGAGTCAGATGTTTCAAAGACAGCTTTCAGGACACATGAAGGGCATTATGAGTTTCTGGTAATGCCCTTTGGATTGATTAATGCTCCTACTACTTTTCAGTCTTTGATAAACAAGGCATTCAAGCAGTACCTCAGGAAGTTTGTCCTGGTATTCTTTGATGTCATTCTGGTATACAGCAAGACTGTGGAGGAGCATTTGGAACACCTGAGGGTGGTCTTGGGAGTACTTCAGGAGAATCAGTTGGGAGCTAACCTGAAAAAATGCAGCTTTGCTCACTTTAGTGTGGAGTATTTAGGACATGTGGTATCCCAAGGAGTGGCGGCGGACCAAACCAAAATCGAGGCAATGCATAAATGGCCGCTGCCTAGGAACATAAGGGAGTTGAGGGATTTCCTAGGATTGACTGGCTACTACATGAGGTATGTGAAGGGATATGGTACCATTGCATGGCCTTTAACTGAGCAGCTGAAGAAGGACAACTTTTCTTGGGGGGAGTCAGCTACTCAGGTCTTCGAGAGGTTGAAGAAAGCCATGACCACAGTTCCTGTCCTAGCTCTTCCAGACTTCAGCCGGGTCTTTGTAGTAGAGATCGACGCATTAGGGTATGGGTTAGGGGCCGTGTTGATGCAGAATCATAGGCCTATAGCATATTTCAGTCAAGTGCTATCAACAAGGGAAAGATTGAAGTCAGTGTACGAAAGGGAGCTAATGACCATTGTCTTGGCGATTTAGAAGTGGCGCCCCTATCTTTTGGGTCAACATTTCATTGTCAGGACAGATCAGAGAAGCTTGAAGTATCTTTTGGAGCAAAGGATGGTGACAAAGGAGCATCAGCGATGCCTATCCAAATTATTGGGCTATGATTTCGAGATTCAGTATAGGCCAGATTTGGAAAATAAAGCAACTGATGCTTTATCCAGATGTGTGGGGGAGGTCTAGGAGTTAGCTCTGTCAGTACCACTGATGGTAGACTGGGGAGCCATCAAAGAAGACGGTATGCTGAATGAAGAGTTGAGAAAGATCAAGGAGAATCAAATGACAAACAAGAGTAGCCACCCGAGTTACTATATGGAAGGGGGAGACTGTTATATCAAGGGAGGTTTATGATGCCTCGAACCTCCATACATATGCCTCACTTGCTACATGAGTTCCACGGCAGTGTAGTGGGAGGCCATTGAGGGGTTCAGAAGACATATTGAAGGCTGACATCTGAGCTTTACTGGAAAGGGATGCATAAAGATGTTGAAGAGATGGTAGCAAGGTGTGAAGTGTGCCAGAGGAACAAATATATGGCCATAGCTCCTGAAGGACTACTACAACCATTACAATTTCTAAATCGAGTTTGGGAGGAAGTGTCCATGGATTTCATAGACGGCCTTCCACGATCGGAAGGATTCACTGTCATCATGGTGATGGTTGACAGACTTAGTAAGTATGCTCATTTCATCCTCTTACAACACCCCTACACCGCGGTGTCAGTAGCAACAACATTTATCAGGGAGACTGTTAGACTACATGGGATCCCTGAGTCCATTGTGTCTGATCGAGACAAAGTGTTCCTCAGCTAATTTTGGAGGGAGATGTTTAGGTTGCAGGGCACGACTCTGAAAAGGGGCACCGCCTACCATCCTTAGACAGATGGGCAAACGAAGGTGGTGAACCGAAGTTTGGAGACCTATTTGAGGTGTATTGCTTCTGAAACACCAAGGATGTGGGCCAAGTGGTTACCGTGGGCCGATTATTGGTACAATATGTCATACCATTCGGCTTCGCAGATGATTCCTTTCAAAGTAATGTATGGAAGGGATCCCCCGCACCTAGTACACTATGGGAAGCGAAGTACACCAATTTCTTCAGTTTAAGAGTACTTGGAGAAAAGGGATAAGGTGTTGGAGGAGTTGAAGAAACATCTGTTGAGGGCACAATAAATTATGAAAAAACAGGCGGACTCACATAGGAGGGACATGCAGTTTGAGGTAGGAGAGAAGGTGTTCCTAAAACTATGCCCTTACAGACAGAGGACAATTGCTACGAGGAATGAGAAACTGGCACCAAGATACTTCGGCCCCTATGAGGTTCTGGATAGGATTGAGGCAGTGGCGTACCGACTGAAGTTACCTCCATCAGCTACCATACACCCAGTCTTCCATGTGTTTTAGTTGAGAAGAGCTCTAGGTGAGCATGCCATTAGTGCAAAGTTACCGTCTACATTAACGGAAGATTTGGAAGTAATGTTAGAACCATTGGAGCTGGTGGGAGTCAGATCAGACAAAGAAGGCAACAAAGAAGTGCTGATTAGATGGAGAAGCCTCCCCGATTTCGATGCTACTTGGGAGCCATTTCAAAGAATGAAAGATCAATTCTTTTCATTTCACCTTGAGGACAAGGTGAGTCTTTGAGAGGGGAGTAATGTTAGGCCGGTCGGCTGGACCGGTCCAGCTTGGACCGGTCCTCTTCTACTCCATGCGGAACAGGAAGGGGGGCCGGAACCCATGGTGGGCCCAAGCATGAGTTTAAAGCTAGTATTAATTGGAGGGAAATTTTGAATGGGAAGGGCTGTTTTGGTATCTTGTAATTTTCCTTTGTGGTTAATTAGGTGCTTAGGAGGGAATTAGGGATTATCCTGAATTTGAATGTAATTTGAGATCTAGGGTTTCTGCTTGGGCTTTAGGCTACGGCTAGAGATTTGGAGGGTTGTTTCTTCCCCTCGAGTTGGAGAAACTTGTATCTTTCTTTGCTTTCTCGCTATTTGATTGAATAGGAGTTTGCTTGTGTTTCCTCTCCAAAAATCTGAATTTCTGCTTGGTTTTTGGCTGGTTTCTTCTTGAAAACAGCAGATTTCTTTCTGTTTTCCCCCAATTTTGGTTAGGTTTGCTTGCAAACTCAAGTATTACCCTTAGGGTTACTTGCGAACTCGAGTATTTCCGATCATTATATTGAGTATTACCCATGCCTCTATCTTAAAGTTTTAACAATTGACGTGCCTGTGTCTATTTGTGCATCACAGGGAAAGACCTACCCTTTGTGGAGTTGTGCATTACATCAGTGGTGTTAAGCTACATGTTTTCATATTATTCATATTAGGAATATCCAACACATGTGGTTCTTTCCATTCATATTGATTTAAATCAATCAAATTGTTTTTGTTGCGATATTTAGATTTAAGTACACCACATTCATGCTCTTCTAAAGTAATTGCTAATTATGCTGATTCTCATTTTGTGACCCCTGGAAATAGCGTCTACATCAGCAGTTGGGTTTCTTCCTAATATAATATTCAAAAGAACTATCATGAAGATCTTACATACTTTTTTTCTTGGCCTACTGTAGATTATTACTGGTTCTGAAGATGGCACTGCGAGGGTATGGGGTAAGCATACTCTTTTGTGTGCACTTCTTATTGATAAATTTTTGTTTTACTTTAGAAGGATGAAGTTGTGTATGTCTTTGAGAATCTAACTAATATGTGATACTTGGTTAGTTATTTACTTCATCATAAAGATGCCATTTTTGAGAATGTTCACAACCAAATACCATATTAGTTGCTATGTAGTATATATTCTAAACTGATTGAGATAAGTATAGAAATTATGAGCAGATTTCATCTCCATTTAATGAGTATCATAGACTCATGAATCAGTAATTGCAGCATTTGAGTTCTGAATTAGAGTTCATTTTGTTTATAATTGCCCTAGATTACTCGATCTGTTTGACTCTATGATCTATGTTGTATAGGATTTCAAACTTGAAACGATAAAATGTTTTCTGCTGATGTTTGTAGAACTAAGTGCAGTGGAATATACCCGTTCTCAGTTGCATGACTTCTGAATTGAATTGACGGCAGCCTTTTAACTGCTTTTTCCCAGGCCTTATCTTCATGCAATCATTTTAAATACATGCTTATTTATTTTCTTCGAAGAGCTGTTGGCTCTTCGCTATCTGTTAAAAAATTCATTTGTCTTGAAAATACAGTTGTATTCATGCTTTTACAGACTACCATAAATGTATTTCTTTTGTTTCAAATCTTATAATGCATCCATAACCACATGCATGTAGACTGCAGAAGCGGAAGATGTGCTCAAGTTATATATCCTGAGAAGTGCAGCAAGTTGAAGGAATCTTCCTGGATCAGTTCCGTTGCACTTGATAATAGTGAAAGTTGGTTGGTAATTTCTTTTGCATCACTCTCTTAAAATGTTGCAATTAAGATCTTTAGTTTTTATAAACAAATGCTTTCGCACTGTTAACGACCTTCTTTTCTCTCTTTTCAACATATGAAATGATTATTATCATATCATTGACCGTGCTTGAATGGATTGGGCACTCTTTGGGAAAAACTTTAGGAATTCTGGTAGGCCGGATTTGAGCATTCACACTGCCAAAAAAATGTCATTGACGGAAAAATTTGTGCACCAAATTATTTGAATATTTTCTTCCAGCTTGTCCCATATATATACAATCCTAGAAGTTGCATAATTGGAAGTATACAGATTTATGACTTAAAATTGAGCTATTACAATTAATTACAATAAAGTAGCACACACGAATTCGTGAGGTGACATCCTATGAGCACATGGATTAATGAAGTGGCACACAAGGAGCGAATCTAGCCATAATATTGGGAGGGTAAGCATATTTGTTGATATCTCCCCTTAAACATATGTTGGTTAGTCAAGAAGCATAAATTTGCTTACAAGAAACTTATGTCTTTGCTTGGTCAATGCCTTTGTAAATATGTTTGAGATCTAAAGGTTTGTAGAGATATGAGGAAAGAGATGATATGAGTATTAGGAGCTTCTTGAATTGAGTGACTATCAACTTTAATATGCATGAAACTCTCATGCTATATCAATTGGTAGTTATTTGGATGACACTTAGGGTCTGTTGAGACCGCCTTCTCACTGTTTTGCTTTTTTAAATAGCAATCATAATTTCGTTTGGCTACTATTTGTTTGTTGTTTTCTTCTCACTTTTCAAAAAAAAAAATTGGTGGAAAGTTATTTTTTTGCAATCAAGGTATCAAAGTTACTTTCCCTACAACTATACAACAAACTTTATAAAATATAGTAGTCATTCCAAATAGACCCTTACATAGTCAACATGGAGAGTAAGATTTTCTTTAGGAAACATGAGTTTAGATAGTAGTCCACATACATATCATATTTAAAGAGAAAATAACTAGAATGATTCCCAATTAAAGGACTATTTTGGTCCCTCAAGTCATTAAAAAAGGAATCAAAATAGTCTAAAAAATAAAAAAAAGAATCAAAATAGTCTCATAGTGGGACAATTTTGGTTTCACTTTAAGGAGTTGAGGGACCAAAATGGTCATTTAATATAGTTGATGACTATTTTGATATTTCATAAAAAGTCAATGAATTATTTTGATTTTTTTCTCAATATTTAAACACTCTACACAAGGTTTTTTTTTACTCTTCTATGAGATCAAATAATCACCAAGGAATATGCACCATGTTGTGACGAATAGGCAAGTATCATGATGCCCGGCCTAATCTATATCAATTTATCCCACCAAATGAAGAGAACTATGTGGAAAGAATAAACCACAGCTCAGTGTTCTAGTAAGATATTGAATAATTCGATGAATGACAACCATATGTAAGTGATGCGAATTTTGCATAAATTGAATTGTTGTACTACAAAGGAAATATTTGGTCCAGTAATAGTCAATTTGTTTAGACTACCAACCAATTCTCTTTACATTGTGGGACTTGTGTGAAGATCACCTTTCTTCACTATGGCCCTTTGTGTTTGCTTCGAATGAAGTGTCCATATGGAAGATTTATTTTGAAAACCTATCGAAGTAATTAGATTTCATGTACATTTATGTTGCTTTAGGAATGCACTAAGTGAATTAGTTTATACTACCAATTTTAAGAAGTGAGGACCCCAAGATTCTTCATATAAAAGGTGATCTAAAGTTGTTGTAGATGATTAATTTGGGCCAAACATGTCCCATCCATAGCTTCGTTCCAACAATTATGTTTACTATAGTAATAGCTTATTTCCAACAATTAAGAGCAAGTGGCTTGCCATTACAACCTTGTGCATTTCAACCACAACATGCCTTTATGACCTACCATTACAACCACATGCACTACAACAACAACTTGCCTTTATCCCACTATGTGGGGTCTTTACTATATGAATCATTTTTCTTCTTTATGTCCTATTAAAAGTCAAATTCTCATTTAAATCTAAGAAAAAAATATTATTTTTAATACTTTCTAACCAAGTCTTTTTAGGTTTACTTTTATCTTTCTTAATATATGTCAGATCTAATACATCTACTCTCATCAGAAGGCCGGCAATTTATGTAATCAAATCATCTAAGACGACTCTCTCTAATCTTATCTGTCATTAGAGCTGCTCCAACTTTTTCATGTATATAATTGTTTCACATTCTATCTCTAAGTGTAAAGCCATTCATCCACCTAAGCATCTTTATCTCTACAACAATTATCTTATGTTTATGCTTCTCTTTTAATAGCCAACATTTTGTGCCATAAAGCATTGTAGCCTCACCACTATCTTAGAAATTTTTTCCTCAAGTTTGAGGGGTACTTTTCTATCACACAACAAGCCCGGTGCACTCCTCCACTTCAACCATTCAACTTGAATTCTACTAATAATATCCACACCTATTTCAACTTTGCTTTGAACAATAGAACCGAGATATTTAAAACGTGCATGCTTTTTAATGAATTGATTACCCAGTGTCACATTCCCACCATTAAATCTATTATCACTAAAATTATACTTCATGTATTCAATTTTAGATCTACTCAAACGAAACCTTTAAACTCTAAAGTTGACCTCCATAATTTAAGTTTTTCATCAATTCCCCGCATGCACAGAAAGTGAAAAAAAAAAAACATAATATTAGGATGCCTAGAAGGCTGTGCATCTAAATTGTGCAAGTATTTTAGATTTTTAGAGGGATATAAAAAAGTCATAGAATGATCACTGCTTGCTTTGAAGCAAGCTTGTCACTCATAGCGTTCTAAGATCTAATGATATATACATTCTATCTTTTCTGTTGGAATGACACATCATTGCATTAAAAGAAATTAATTATTTTTTTTTATAAATTTTAAGAGTTGTTGTAGTGTTTGAATAAGAGAGGAAAGTTTATTGAATTGAGAGAAACAAACTTGCTAAGGGTTTTACTTGGGACTTTGTAAAATTTATCTAATTGGGTAAGGTGAATTTAAGATGAAGGCTTCTAAAGTGGCTTGTGGTTAAACCACTTATACGCCAATTTAAGTCCATTTTAATGCTCAGGTGGATGAGTGGCTTTACCCTTAGAGATAGGATACGAAATGAGCATATACGTGAAAAGGTTGGAGTAGCTCCAGTAGAAGATAAGATTAGAGAGAGTCGCCTTAGATGTTTTGGTCACATAAAAAGGTGGCCTTCCGATGATCCGGTTAGGAGAGTAGAGGTACCTAAAAAGACTTGGTTAGAAAATATTAGGAATGACCTTTCTTTATTAGATTTAAACGAGAATTTGACTTTTAATAGGACACAATGGAGAAAAAGGATTCATGTAGCCGACCCCACGTAGTGGGATAAATGCTTGATGTTGTTGTTGTTGTAGTGATGAAAATTTAGAATGTGTTTAGATGATGAAATACCTCCTTAATTTGGTCAGATAAGTAGGCATTAACTTTGAGGCTGAAGGGAAGAGATTTTATATTTAATTTGAGTCAAATAGAAATGCTATGACTTTTTAGCCAAGTTTTAAGAGGTCAGACAAATAGAGATGATAATGAACCTATATCTTTGAAGTTAAAGAGTTATAGGATTTTCTATAGCTTTTGGGCTAAAGGAAGAATGGAGTGTAACACATAGCTTTTGAGTTAAGGGTTACAAGATTTCCTATAGCTTTTGCATTATCGGATAAACTTAAATCCTAAGAATGAAGATTTGATTTGTTTAATTTTTGTTAAGCAAATTAGAGAAGTTAAGTTTGAAATCCTAAGCCTAAGATAAGTGACTATGTGTTCATTTTTGCTCAAACAGATAGATCAAGGGATCCTAGGATTTGGTGCCAAGAGTCCTTTGTACTATCTAAACATTTTAGAGGTTGTTTGGAAATCGCTATGGGGGTCCAAGAAGGCGACACTCAAAAATAGGCTAGATAAAAATTATTCAAGTTGAATTAACAATCCTAAGATTTGTTTAAGAGTGAAATGGATCTAAATAGGTCTAAAGGTTTGTTCAATGAAATGCCTGAAACTTTGACAAGCTTCAAATCACCATGCTTGAAGGGAAAGATGACTCCTAAGCAAGTTTCTTTCTTCTTCTTTTCTTTTTTTTTTCTTTTTTTTTTTGTTGAGAATGTTTTGGATTCTTTTAAATATGCCCTATCATTTCTATGGTCTTAAGCTGGTTTTAGAATTAATTTTAGCGTAATCTAATGACCTTCGAAGTGTATGAAATGATTTTGATTTTTTTTTTTATGAATTTTCCAAATTTAAAGCAACTAATCATGTTTATTTTAATTCTCTAAGTCTCACAACAACAATAACAACATAAGGCTTTTATCCCACTATATGGTGTTGGCTACATGAATCCTTTTTCAATTCTCATTTAAATTTAATCAAGAAAAGGTCATTTCTAATACTTTCTAACCTAATCTTTAGGTCAACCTCCTTCTTTACATATGCCGGATCTAATACATCCACTATCCTAACCAGATGATTGGAAGGCCGGTGTTTTATATGAATAAACCATCTAAGGCGACTCTCTTTAATCTTATTTGTCATTGGAGCTACTTCATTCTTTTCATGTATATACTTGTAAGTCTTACCAAATGCAAAAAATGAACTTGATTAGCTTTACCTATTGTGTGATATGAAACATAAACCTTTGAGGGTCTACGATAAATACTACAATTATAGAATAGCTATTTAATGTGAATTATACAAAATCAGGACCTCAAAATTGAACTATACAATTAATTACAATAAAGTAGCATACAAGGATTGGTGAGGCGGTATCCTATAAGCACATAGGTCATCAAGGTGGTACGAAATGAGCGAATCTAGCCATAATACAGGGACGGTAATTGTATATGTTGAAATTCCTATTTTACTTCCCTATCCGCACCCCACCTATTTTAGAAGAAAATATTTTACAAAACTCTCTAAGATGTCATCCAGACACACTCCACAAATTCCTTTTGGGTGTAACTTACCTTTTTGAGCAGATATATTATATCGTGTTTTTCCATTAAAGAATTAGTGCTTCAAGTTTTTTATGTTTATGTGATCATAAGTTAAAACTAGAGTAAACTATCCTGTCTTTTGTTCTCTGCTAAGTGCAGAATATATTATGATACTGAGCATTCCGTTCTTCTCAGGTCTGTGGAACAGGTAGAGGTTTATCAGCTTGGAGCCTGCTTTCATACGAGTGTATTTTCAGCTTTGATAGCCATGCCCCAATTCAAGATCTATTGTTTCATGATAATCAAGTAAGTTGCTAATGATGATCCGTCCTTTTTGTTATATTTCTAGTTCAAACCAATGCTCATTGAAGAAACAAATAAGATTTCAAATTAATCTAAGGCGCTCTTCCCAGGTGATTTTAGTTTTGTTTAATTTTACTTCTACAACAACAACTACAACATCAAGCCTTTGTCCCACTATGTGGGGTCGGCTACATGAATCCTTTTTCGCCATTGTGTCCGGTTAAAAGTTAAATTCTCATTTAAATCTAATAAAGAAAGATCATTTCTAATATTTTCTAACCAAGTCTTTTTAGGTCTACCTCTACCTTTCTTAACATAAGTCAAATCTAATACCTCAACTTTCCTAACCGGATCATCGGAAGGCCTCCGTTTAATGTGACCAAACCATCTAAGGAGACTCTATCTAATCTTATCTTCCACTGGAGCTACTCCAACCTTTTCACATATATGCTCATTTCGTATCCTATCTTTAAGGGTCAAGGCACTCATCCACCTAAGCATCCTCATCTCTGCAACACTTAACTTAGTATTATGCTTCTCTTTTAATGGCCAACATTCAGCACCATAAAGCATTGCAGGTCTCACCACCATCTTATAGAATTTTCCCTTAAGTTTGAGGGTGCCTTTTCTATCGCACAATAAGTCTGATGCATTCCTCCACTTCAACCACCCAACTTGAATTTTGCTGATAATATACCCATCAATTTCACCATCACTTTGAACAATAGATCCAAGATATTTAAAACATGTACTCTTATTAATGATTTAATCGCCTAAAGTCACAATCCCCTCACTAGGTCTATTGCTACTAAAATTACACTCCATATATTCAGCTTTAGATTTACTCAAGCAAAAACCTTTAAACTCTAAAGTTGACCTCCATAATTCAAGTTTACCTTCAACTCCCTCTCTAGTCTTATGAACAAGAAGAATATCATCAGCAAAAAGCATACTCCAAGGTACATCGTCTTGTAAATGTCTAGTGAGAACTTAATTTTACTTCTGAATCCATTAATTTAGGTATTGTGCATTTGGAACCATGTGAATGAAATCCATCAATATCCTCCAAAGGGAAAAATATCATCCATGAGAGAACAACTTAATAAATTTGAATTTATGAAAAAAAAATTATTAACATAAATCATAATTAATGCTATTTAATTACGAGAAGTCATATAGGTGTTGTCATTTATTTTATTCAAAGGTATTGGAAAAGCCAATTATTTTGCGTACGAAATACATATTGGATATCTTTATTGCTGATTTGTCTTGAATTTTATAGGAGACGATTTAGGTTAAATTATGAGGTAAAGATTTTTCGTTTTAAGCATTTTTTATTGTGTAAAATTCATTTTAGTTTATATATATATATACTTTTTAATTTTGAAGTTTAAGAAAGAAATAATTGAAATTGGAGGGCAATTATATTAGGAATTATGGTTGTAATTTAAAAAGTTATTAAAGCTTAGTTTTATCTAGATTAAAGGAGTTAATATGTTTTGTTATTTATAAATTTATATGTATGTATGTAATAACATTGGATACTATTAACATGCTTAATATGAAAAAAAAATATTACGTATATGATAGGAAACACTTGAAGATCTCAAGTGAAACCTAGCAATCTTGACAAAATAAGCGAGAATACTTAACAAGTTGAGGAAACATCAAAGAAAAACAGCTCACTTTATTGAGAAAATCAACTAACATAAGAGAAACAGACATGATAAAAGTGATCCTCAATTCGAGAGGAAGATCAATCTCTACCGATTCTCTAGACTCCGCTAGAGCCCAAAGGAAACCTAAACCTAAGAGTTCTCAAAATTCAGCCAAATTCAAGATGCCCTTACAATGAGAAAACCAACTATTTAATGCATACAATCCAAAAGGAAATCTCTAAATAGTCCCTACATTCAAATTTCTCTCCTAACTCCCCCAAAAATCCTTCCCAAAAAACTCCCTTGGACCCGGTGGTTTCTAGCAGCATACAAAAGAGGCGGAAGAGTTCCGCCTTTGTCCGCCTGAGTCGGTCCCATGTGAACCAGTTTAACAATACTCCCCTCCGAAAATATCAGCTTATCCTCAAGGTAGAACGAAGGAAACTGCTACTGAAACACTTGATCAATAACACTAAACTGAAAAATGGGCTGATACTGGGTTGAATGATTCCTGTTTCCAGCATCTCCCTAATCAATCTCTCGATCTCATCCTTCTGAATTTGAAAATGATGATACGGATGAACACTAATATATGAAGCTACTTCCTTCAAGATAATAGCATGCTCATGTCCCCGTGGAGAAGGCAACCCCTGAGACGGCTGGGAAATCTCACTGAGTTGCTGAATCAATGGTTGTACTGAAAGAGGGCTGTCCCCGCCGCCCCCCTCCATTCTGATCCCCTCTAATCTATGTATTTCCATCAGATAACCTTCTCCCACCTCTTGTATGCTCATTACCTTGGTTTTAAGTGATATCGTGGCTTTGGTGAGCCCTACATCTCTCCTAATCGCTACCCTTATTCCATCCACCATCAGCTCCATTGTCAATGCTCCTCAGTTGACCTTGGTATCCCTCAAGGTTTGCAGCCACTTTATTCTTAGGATGATATCAGTGCTCCCTAACTCCAATGGGAGAAAATCATCCCTCACCTGAACCCCCTGTATGTACCCTTGCATATCCCCTGACATGTTTCCTCCTTCCCTGTAAACATCATCACTCCATAACACCTTGTATCCACCAATGTCACCCCCAATTGGTCCACGATCTGGTTGGAGATGAAATTATTATTAGTCCTACTATCAATCAACACCACTACCTCCCTGTCTGTTATTTTCCCCTTCATCTTCATGGTATGATTCGGAGTGAATTCCACCATTGAATTCAGGGAGACCATCACACCCAGATGCATCTTATCATCCATCTCTCTCTCTCCCATCCTCTCACCTCCCTCAGTTTCCTCGTCATCACAAATGGTGAGAACCTGAAGAGTTCGTTCCCTACACTTGTGCCATGGAGTATACTTCTAATTACATTTGAAGCATAGTCCCTTCATCCTCTTCTCCTGCATCTCTGTCTGTTAGTCTTTTGAAGTTCCCCCCACTTCCTCCTGTTGGATTCTCCCTGGGAGTCTCATTAATGTTACCTTATGTAGGCCCCTTGGGTGCTAGAAAAGTGGTTGTCGTCCTGTAAGAGCCCCATGAATTATTGCTCCTGGCTCCCCTCTCATGATACCTCTGATTTTCCAACAACTATGCTAACTTTATGGCCTCTCTCAAGTCACGGGGCCTTCGTACTTTTAGTGCAGCTCTAATCTCTGATTTGAGCCCTTTCAGGAAGTTTCCCTCGAATGCCGTCTCCGAGAATTGCTCCACTGTACTAGCTAGATGCTCAAACCGCTCTCGGTAATCTACCACTGATCCGTCGTGTACCAATGCAAATAACTGCTCATAGAAGTCTCATCCCCTGTCGGTTTGGAAATATTATAATATGCATTCCTTGAATTCTCTCCAACTCTGGATAGGTCTCCTCTGATCTCTCCAATGGTATCACGACAGCGCCTTCCCCTCCAAACATAAGCCTGTTGCTTTCAACTTCTCCTCCTCTGTCAGCCCATTGACGGTGTAGTACCTCTCCACCTTGTAAATCCACCCATGTGCGTCCTTCACTTAAAAAATGGGCATCTTCAGCTTCCTCACCTTCTGATCTCCCCTGTTTCCCCTTATTATTCCATAATTCTCCCTCTCCCATGTGCTCAGTGCTCCCCCAATCTTCTCTCTTACGTTCATACACAAACCCTTCTTCGCTTTTCCCCCGCTTTTCTTCAAAATTAACACCCATTCTCCCTTATTCCCCTTTTTTTCCTATAGCTTCCACCTTGTCCCTCCTACGACAATCTGAATTTGTCGTTTTCCCACTAGTTCTTTTGCCTTTAATGCAGTCGTTTGAATTTGATTCTCCAATAGCTTCTTCATCATCGCATGAAAATTGGAAACCTTGTCTTCCACGGATGAGATTCGATCTTCCATCAAGGCTTTTATTTGGCTCATCTCTCCTTCCAAGCATTCCTCCAACACGTCTACCTTCTTGGCCGCCATAAAAAAATTTTGGGTTTCGCTCCAAAAATCAGCAAAAGTTCCTTCCTCAGGATGCAATTTCGCCGCTGAAATTTTAAAAAATCAGCCCCCGATAGTCCCAAGACTTGCTCTGATACCAGTTTGATAGGAAACACTTGAAGATCTCAAGTGAAACTTAACGATCTTGACAAAATCAGCGAGAATACTCAACAAGTAGAGGAAAGATCAAAGAAAAACAACCCACTTTATTGAGAAAAATCAATTAACGAAAGAAAAACAAACAAGATACAAGTGATCCTCAATTCGAGAGGATTGATCTCTCCCGATTCTCTAGATGCCGTTAGAGCCCAAGGGAAACCTAAACCTAAGAGATCTCAAATTTCAACCAAATTCAAGATGTCCTAACCCTAGGAAAGCCAACTGTTTAATGCATACAATCCAAAAGGAAATCTCTAAACAGTCTCTACATTCAAATTTTCCTCCTAACTCCCCCAAAAATCCTTCCCAAAAAGCTCCCTTGGACCCGGAGGTTTCTAGCGGCATACAGGAGAGGTAGAAAAGTTCCGCCTCTATCCGCCTTAGCCGGCCCCGTGTGGACCGGTCTAATAGTATGCAAGTCCAATATTATTGTAGGGAATTATCTAGAATTTAATTTAAAATACTTTGCTCCATATATTAAGATTGAGTATCTTAGCACAAACATTATATCATTCTCCAAGCATACTTCTTCACGCTCATCACCTCAAAACCTTGATATTTTTTACACAAGTTAAGAAAAAGATAAGTTTCCTCAACTTATACCAATTTCCTTATTTAACATGAACCTTCCTCAAAATAACTTCAAAATAACAACTGACCCCAAAAAGATTTCTCAGAAAAGTCTTCAGGTCTTCCAAATCTAAACCAAACTCTATTTGCCGATGAAAATTTGAAAAATCAGAATCTTACTTAAAGAATTGAGCTCCAGGTTTCATTTTCCCTTCTTTTCCTTGGGGCACAATTCTTATGCGTCCGGCACTGCTTAAAGGTTGAGAAAATAAAGAATGGGAGTGAAATGAAATAAGATAATGCTTAGGATTTTAATGTGTGTGTATATATGAATTTATTTATCATCGTATTTTATTTGTCAAGGGTAATATTATTATTTGTTAGTTTTTTATGATAAATTATTGGTTTTATCTTATAGGATGCTCAATTAGAAATAGAGGTTTAAAAGGGGTGTTTGTTTCATACTTCATTAATCTAAGTTCCATGCATAGATATCTTTCCTATTTTCCACACCAAGTTATCTACACTGTGCTCTTCTTCATCTCAAATGATCTTCCTCTTTGTCCAATTGAAAAAAGACGAGAAATTCATTGAACCATCCATTATAATGCACCAGCATTTCTTATTAAAGGGTATATAGTGTTACCACATGTCAAATATAGACATGCATTTGACATACCTCTTATATGTGTCGAACTTGACAGCAATGTGTAGATTAAAATAATATTAAAAATAAAATAGATTGCTTGTTCGATACACATGCCCTAAATAACATAATAAAATAAAATAAAAAAGTAATTTTAAATATTTATTGTTTATATTTCATTATTTACTTACTAAAATACTTTTCCTCTCCCTTGCACTCATGCAACCATCTTCCGACCCCCTTTCCCCTTTCTCTCACTTGCAGCAAGGATTTTGGAGTTACCTCTTTAGTCGAATGCATGTCACCCTCTTGTTGATATCGTCTTACTTCTCGATGCCCTCTCCACTCTCCCTTGATGTTAAAGCTTGTGTTTCATCTCCTGTCTCGATGTTGTTTCCTCCCTTGATTCCAAAGCTTGAGGTTAGGGTTTTGTCTGCTATCGCTCCCCCTCACTTCATGTGGTCGCAACGCATCTATAGTGACTCAATGAGTACCCTTTTTTCTCTTAAACGAGTTAATTCTATTTGTGAAAGCATTGTCTTAAGGATGGTTTTAAGCATGTTTAAGGTTTGAAAGTTTTAGTTAGATTTGGTTCAATTTTTAATCTATTTTGGCTAAAATCGATCGTAATAGGTTCAATTTTTCGCTAAACTAATTTCATGAATATTGATCGAAATTGATTTTGTTTGTCATTGTTTAGCTGAAGATTTTCATCATAAAATTTGAACGAAATTTACTAGATTTTAATGTATTTATATCTTGGTTTTATGAGAAAGGCTTGTCAAGCTTAAGCATAACTTTTCTATGATGGGGACGTTAGAGCTTGGAGGGTTATCATTGTAGGGCCGGAGATCTATAACCTTGATTGAGTCTTTATATTTTTAGTTTTCTTGTGTAGGAGATTTATGCGGTATTATTTATTTTTTTACAGGTTTACCCTCACTTGAGGGAGCTTTTGTGTTATTTGGTCAAGGACCTTCTTGTCTTTTGTTTCTTTCATGTTTTGGGTGCCTATATATAAGGCCCATTGTTCTCTTGTATGAATGGTGAATATTTTGATATAAATTTCTAGTTATATGCTTCCTCTTCTCTTGGTGAGTTGAGTGTATGTGTGACGTAGGCAGGGGGGCAACTCATGTGCCTAAGTTTTGGATTGATCTGGGTTTCTCAGCTTGGGCTTGGCTGCTCAATTTTTTACTGTTTTGTGGATAAAAGAGGATGCTATGGACTGATTTTTGGAACAAAACCTGATGGTTTTTCTTCTTGGAAAAGCTTGCGAGCTTGTTCCATTTCTCTTCTTTTTGGGAAAGCTTGCGAGCTTGTCCTCTCTACGACTTGGTCTCGGGCTTCTTATCTCTTTCTTCTCTCCACAAGTGACCACCCCATTTGTATCTTTCTTCTCGACAAATGGAAAGCATTTTTAGGTGTTCTAGGTACTAAGTTTGTATGCGTTGTCTTTCTATTATAAAAGAGAAGTTGTTTTTCATGTAATTGTTGTATTTTGTTATTTTGTGGTATTTTGGAAGGTGTCCTAGTTTGTATGTAATTTTGGCAATCTAATTGATTGCATCAATTTGGTATCAGAGCACGTTAGTAAATTCCTAGGTTATTTGTGTCTTTTTGAAGTGTTTAAAAAAATGGAATACCATAAAAGAATTGAATCAGTTGTTGGAGAAAGTGAGTCAAATAATCTTGAAGTCCCATTTTCAATGGACAGATGGATTCCGTCGCAAGGAAGTTCAACCGATCCACTACAAAATGAATTATGCAAGCTTCAAATGAAGATGCATGTGTGTACAGAGAAATACATGAAGAAAAAAAAAACTTTTGCAAGGCCAATTCAAGCAAAAAAGAGAAATTATTCTGAAGAAGTATGCGGCCAATATTCGAGAATTAGATTCGGATCAAGGTTTAAAATTGCGTAACTGCGCCTCGAGGCGGTTTTCGTCCGTGAGGCGAGGCGTAAGCCTCGAGGCGGTCTGAGGCGTAAGCCTCACGAATGCATCCTCATCAGGAGATGAGCTCTTTCAACCGGGGAAGAATCTGATGTAGGCAAGGGGGAGGGGAAGGGCAAATCATGTGCCTAAGTTTTGGGTTGATCTGGGCTTCTCGGTTTAGGCTTGGTTGCTCGACTTTTTACTGTTTTGTGAGGAGCTGCTTGGCTCCAGCTCATTAATGCTGAGCTTCTTCTTCTTTTTCAGCTCATAAATTGAAGTTAATTTGGTTCATTCCCCCTTTCCCTCCCCTCTCTGTGGCCCTTCGGTTTCCCCCCTGGCTGCCTAATCTGGTTCCCTGTGGGCTCCTGTTCCAGTTCCCTATGTGGCTCGTTCCTATCCCCAGTGGTCCCTTCGGCTGTTGTTGTTGGTCTCGTGGCTTTTCTTCTCCCCCACCTCTGTACTTCTTAAGTGGACTTCTCCCTTTCCAAGCCACTAAAATCGGTCAAGTCATCCTTCCCCTCCTCCCCATGCAACCGGCCTAGCTTTCCCCTCCAAACCCCAAAATCGTGAACCTCTCTACTTTCAAACCCTCATTTAGCTGAAACTTTCTTTTCACTCCCCACTATTCTACCTCTCTAAGGAAACCTAGCTTCTACTAATACAACATGGACATTGATTCAACAAAGAGCAAGGGTTTCATGGGCAAGCCAAGGAGGAATTAGGCATTATTTCATCAAGGACTTTATTCCTCTCATTCATGAGCTAAGTATCAAATCCTCTCATTGTTCTTCATCTAATTAAATATTGGTCTTCTCATTTCATCTATAGTAGTAGCATCATCTCATATGTGTTGATTAATCCGTCAAGTTCTACTTAAATTTGAGCAAACATAAACTCTAGTAACTAGTCCCTTAATTAAATGTTGGATTTGTGCCAACCATGTTAGCTAGTCTAAATAGATTCACCTTTTATTAGTGTTTAGCCTTTATTTGTTAGTTTCTTGCTATCACATGATCTAAAAGTTCATATTTTCTTATTGTTCTTAATGTTTTATAAAGTTTATTTTGCTGTCTTTGATGTTATCTTAACATAAATTTTTATTTGCATGACTTATTTCGCTTAGTCCTGCATCATTCTGGTTTTATGAGAAATTTAACTAGGTTTAAATCTTAAACTTATGTTAATGTTAGAATTAAATGTCTTAATCATTTCTTTGTTGTTCTTAGTATTATGTTTATTAAATTTATATGCTTTATTTTTAACTTTAAACATATCAAAATTATAATATATTATTCAATGTGTATATGTGTCCTATATTTTTAATAATAGGTGAATCCCAGTTTTTCATCATATCATGTCATGTATGTGTCTATGCATACGAGCTCTATCATGTGTGTGTGCATCCATGTCTTTAGTAGCCTCACTTCAGGTAAGCAACGAGTAATCTGAAATTTAAAAACTGGCTAGGTTCTTACATCATCTTGTTTTGAGCTCCTGTTCATATATTTGACATTTATTCAAACATTATTAAGCTTTTCTTTTGATATTAGTTGAATATAAGGGATTAGAAGCAAGGTGAAATATTATTCTTAGCTCAGCAGAATCTTTGATCAAATGGTACGTAGAAGCCCTGGCGTCAAGCCCATTATTGGCTTAAAGTGGAGAAATGAATACCAGATCCGATAAAAAAATTTGGGTTTGTCTCCTGATCAGTTTGGCAATGGGTAGCTTCGGTAAGATATAATTGAATTGACTAAATTTTATTAAACAAAATGGCTTATTTAGCAAGTTTTCCGTCAAGAAAGGACTGTCAATTTTTATGACTAGTTATGGCTTGAAATAACTATGGCATGGCTCTTCATAGTTTGTTTCTTGTTGTAAATCTCAAGGAAACTTATTCTAGTGCATCAGATTGAGTGCGGTCTTTTTTTATTATTTAAAATTGCTAATAACAAATACTATTCTTTATAAAATAGTTTATCATTGTTACCCTTTTTTTGGATTTTTAATCAATTTGGTTGAGGCTTAGCTTGTTATTATTTCTATATGCCACACTAAATTCTCTTATGTATCAGAATTTTGGCTTTTCTGGATTGGATATTATTTTGTTTTATCTACTCTAAACATATGGTGGCCTGTCTCGCTGTTTATTTTTAAAGCTGGAACCTTCGTTCTTTTTTGCACTTTTTGAGCAAACTAATGTATGCGATATCGTTTTGTTGTTCTTAATATTTGTTGTCCTTTCTCTGTTCTGTCCAGATTCTGGCAGTTGGTGCTGAACCTGTGCTGAGATGTTTCAACATTAATGGAAAAATTCTTTCACAAATCCAATGCGCTCCTTCTTCGGCATTTTCAATTTCTGTGCATCCTTCAGGGGTATGTTTCATTTATCTTTATTCTTTCATTCATGTGGCCTTGAAAGCTTTCGAGTTGGAATTTTTCTTCCATTGCATTGCATCATTGATTCATTTACTTCATTGCATTGCGTTGAATTGCATTCCATAGTTGCAGTTTTTGTTCGCTTCTTAAATGTGTTTTGTGTCATTAGATTTAATTAAGTATTTTGGAGCTTAGATATGGCATGTTGAGGAGCAACTGTTCATTAAATTTCTTTCGAAATTAGCTTTTTATGAATAAAAATTCTGATGGACGTTAATTTCTCTAAACTGAAAATGAAGATAGTCATGCAATCTCTAATCTACCTACTTTAAAGAGTTGTTGTGGTTCTCTAATAAATCTGAAACTGATTTTACACGTCTCACAAAGTTGCATCTTATTTGAGCCTACTTTTCTCAATGGAGAGTTTTACAAAGGATATTCAAAGTATAGCGCCTTGATATGCATTTTTTATATTTGACATATTTTAAATTGGCAAAAATCATATGATTAGATGATATTATTGCATCTTACTGTGCTTTAGGAAATCATATGATTAGAGGACACTGTTTGAGAATTAGATGTGTAAATTTTATAAAAAAATCATTAATAGTTACGTTGAGCATGACTGAAATAATGATGTCAAGATAAATGCGCAACAAAATAATTGATTTAAAATTTAGAAATAATTATATTTAAGAAATGGTTGAAGTGACATCTATCAAAGATAATACAAGTACAAATAGACTTTAGATCATTTTGACATGGTTAGTTGTTTAGACTTGTAGATAAAATTAATATATGAGGCTTATGAAGAAAGCGAGACTTTGGATAACATGGTTAGTTGTTCAGAATAATTTATGAGAATAAGATAAATAATCTCATCCAATACTCAACATGAATAATTAAAAATGAGGATTCATCAAGATGGTATGGTTGGAATGAGGCTATTGATTATGATGAGGATTCATATTATAGATAAAATTAGAGTAGGAGACTAAGGAATAAAGAGTAGGTTAGGATAACATGAATAGTTTTCAATGATTTATGAAGAATATATTTAAACAATTTAAGCATCACTTAATTGGAATGACTTAAAAGTGAGGATACAGCATACATACGCCCGATATAGTTGAGATAAACAATCAAATTAAGCATCTATGGGACTACAGCAGTATTTTATAAAATTAATTGTGAAGTTACTGTGGAGAAAACAATTTCATTATTATGTTTGCTAAAAGTAATTTTTCATCAAAGAAATTTCTAAAAAAAGTATGAAAAGCTGCAAGAAAATAGCAACCAAATAAAATTATAATTGCTATATGAAAAATAAAGTAGCTAGAAAGTTATCCCAAATAGATCCTAAATAAGCACCTTTTTAGGAAATTAATTCCAAAATTTTTCTTTGTGGATCTTAGGTCACAGCAATTGGTGGTTATGGTGGACTGGTGGATGTCATCTCAGAATTTGGCAGCCATTTGTGCATATTTGGTTGTAAAAATGCAGGTTCTTTTTAAACTCTGAAGTTGATTATAAGAAGGCTTTCACTGTATACAGAATTTCTTCGTAAACGGCTGCTTCCATTCCACCAGACGGCTTTGCTAATCTGTCTCAAAGAGCTGTATGAATCATGCAGACCAAAACTAAGTTTTCCTCGCCTTTCGTAAGCAAAGGATGACAGCATTATTCTCTCTCAGCTGAAAATAAGCGAAAGAGAGAAGAAGGCTTTTGGGTTCCTTGATGTTGATAAGCTGTGATGTAATCTTATTCGATGATGTCACTTATTTAAGAGGGCCATTTGGAATTTTTTTATTTATTTATTTTCATCTTATTTATATCTTGATAGAAAATGAAAATATATTTATTCTGATAAATATAGGTTTTTTTAATTTTTTTTTATTGAATCTCTAATAAAAAATTGAAGGTGTTGGTATTTTGGGTTGGGGTGTTAGTGAACAGATTTAGAAGTTCTCATAATTGGCGAAGAGACGGAGGGATGTTGAGCATGATGTGTAAAATCAAGTGGTTGAAATTATACTAAAATAATATTGAACCTTTATTATATTATATATTATGTGTGGTCGATTACATCATTATTTTTTATGTTGTGTTCTATTAGAAGTAAACATTGTCATTGTAAGGTCCCAAGTATTGGATGAAAAAAGTAGAGGGTTGCGTTAGATAGTCGACAATCAACGTAAAACTTGTTGAATAATCATGACATTAATCTTTTAAAAAATTGTGTTAATGTTAGGGTATCCCTTGGAAGTGACATGCTGTATGGTTTAAATACAGTTATAAGTGTGCAAGGGTTGTTGCATTGATACTCAAGTGCAGTGTTCAACAGGTAAGGATTTTCATATCAAGGATGGATGTGGGCAAAGAAGTTAGTTTATGAAATTAAATTTAGGATATGAATTTAGAACATAGGCTTTCTTATAGTAAATTTCATGAAATTAATAGATATTATGATTCATATGAAGATAAATATTATGTTCATTCATGAAATTAAATGGGTTGGAGAGAATGTTAAGAAGATTGATAGTTTATGATATAAACTATGATATTCGGAAATATTAGAAATAATGTATGTATGATTATAGATAAGAGTTTGAAGGATAATGTTATAAAAATTAATATAATCGGAGATAAAATTATAGTTTTAAAGATTGTTGTTGATGCTAAGATTGTTAATATTATAAGTGTTTATGTTCCTCAAGTATATTTGGATGTGTTCAAGATTAAAATTTTGGAATGATTTAGAAGAATTAATATAAAAGATATCTTTTGAAGAATAAGTTTTTATTGTATGAGATTTAAATAGACATGTTGGTTTAGAGATAGATGATTTTAAAAGTATTCATGATGGCCATGGGTTTGTAATGGCAAATGAATGTGATAACACAATATCTTATTTAAGAAAAGAAATGAGTATCTTATCATTTATAAAAATGGATATAGTAAAACACAGATTGATTATTTTATTATAAGAAAATTAGATCGTTTAGATTGCAAATATTGTAAAGCTATTCTGAGTTAAATTTTATGTACCCTACATTGATTATTAGTTTTTGACTTTAAGATAAATGGGCATGAAATAAAAAAAATAAAGTAAAACGATGTTTTATGATTAGATGGGCGCATTTAAAAAATATTAACAAAAGTATTTTTGATAGTAAGATTTTATATATTAAGATTTTGTGCATGAGGATGTTAATGTTATGTGAAAAAAAGTGGCTAGTGACATTAAGAATATTGCAAATGATGTGCTTTGAGTTTCGAAGGGAAAAATTTCTAATAATAAAAATAGTTGGTGGTGGAATTTGAATGTGCAAGAAAAGATAAAAAAATAAGAAGATTTATTATAAAAATTGATTTAGATATAAAAATTCTGATAATTAGGAAAGTTATAAAGAGTCTTGTTAGGATTTTAAGAAAGTTGTTTGTGATGCAAAGAACTTAGTTTTAATGCTTTATATAATAGATTAAATATTAAGGGAGAAAGATATATGTATAAGTTAGCAAAATAAAGATATATGAGTAGTAAGGATTTAGTACATGTGAAGTTTATTAAGTATGAAGATCAAAAAGTATTTTTTTTTTTTTTAAATTCAACAAAGGTGCATGAGATATTTTGCTTAACTTTTTAATGAAGAATGTAAAAATATGATTGACTTTAGTGACTTTAGCATCTTAAATGAAAATAAAGATTATTATTTTTATTGGTGTATTAATAAAGCTGAAGTTAGAGAGGCTTTATAGAAAATGAAGTGTAGAAAAGCTGTTGGACATGATGATAGTCCAATGGAGATGTGGAAATACTTAGGAGATTAAAGAATTTTTTGTCTTACTAAACTTTTTAATACTGTGTTGAAGACTAAAAATAGGCCATATGAGTGGAGAATGAGCGTGCTAATTCCTATTTTTATGAATAAGGGTGATGCACAGGGGTGTGCGAATTATAGAGGAATTAAGTTAATGTGTCATACTTTAAAATTATGGGAGCAAGTTATGAAGCATAGGTTACGGCATGATACTAATGTTTCTTCAAATCAGTTTGGATTCATGTCGATTAGGTCTACTATGGAAGCCATACATTTATTGAGAGGTTTGATGGTGAAATATAAATTGAATAAGGAGGATCTTCATATGATATTTATTAAATTAGAGAGAGTTTATGATAAAGTTCCAAGATTAGTGTTATGGAGAGTTCTTGAAAAGAAAGAAGTTAATAACACTTATATTCAAATTATTATTGATATGTATGCATAAGCTATTACTTGTGTTCAAACACAAGGTGGTTTGATTAAGTATTTTCCTATTTTGATTGAATTACATCAATGATCAACCTTAAGCCCATATCTTTTTGCTTTAGTCATGGATGTTCTCACTAGACATTTGTTAGAGGATGTACCTTGGTGTATGCTTTTTGCTGATAATATTCTTCTTGTTGATAAGACTAGAGAGGGAATTGAAGGTAAACTTGAATTATGTAGGTCAACCTTAGAGTCTAAAGGTTTTCGCTTAAGTAGATCTAAAACTAAATATATATAAAGTGTAATTTTAGTAGCAATAGACCTAATGAGGAGATTGTGACTTCGGACGATCATGTCATTAATAAGAGTACACGTTTTAGATATTGTGGATCAATTGTTCAGAGTGATTGTGAAATAGATGGAGATATTATCAGTCGAATTCAAGTTGGATGGTTGAAGTGGAGGAATGCACCGGGCTTGTTGTGCGATAGAAATGACCACCTCAAACTTAAGGGAAAATTCTATAAGATGGTCGTGAGACCTGCAATGCTTTATGGTGTCGAATGTTGGCCATTAAAAGAGAAGCATAATACTAAATGTTGCAGAGATGAGGATGCTTAGGTGGATGAGTGGCTTTATCCTTAGAGATAGGATACGAAATGAGCATATATGTGTAAAGGTTGGTGTAGCTCCGGTGGAAGATACTATTAGAGAGAGTCGCTTTAGATGGTTTGGTCGCATTAAATAGAGGCCTTTCGATGACTCGATTAGGAAAGTTGAGGTATTATATTTGACTTATGTTAAGAAAGTTAGAGGTAGACCTAAAAAGGCGTTGTTAGAAAATATTAGAAATGATCTTTCTTTATTAGATTTAAATGAGAAATTAACTTTTAACATAACACAATGACGAAAAAGGATTCATGTAAGCAACACCACGTAGTGGGACAAAGGTTTGATGTTGTTGTTGTTGTTCTTTTGGAAGTATATATTTTGAAAATAATAAAAATATATAAAAGTTAATTCAAGTATTTTAAAAAAAAATAGATTTTGTTTAAAAAAAATAGAAATACTTTTAAAATATTAATAAAAAATAATTTAGTAGCTCTATGGATTAGGATTTTATTTAGCATGTAGCTTGAGTTAAAATGTTTTGTTAAAATTAGATTAATGTTGGTCAAATTGATTATTATATTAAAGTCGAATGATATTAATTACATGATTTAAAAAAATGTTTATATCAAATAGAGCGCTCAGAAAATTTGTGTCAAAACATGCAAAGAATTTAGTTTTTAATGATTTATATAATATATTAAATATTAAGGGAGAAAGATATATGTATAAGTTAGCAAAATAAAGATATATGAGAAGTAAGAATTTAGTTCTTGTGAACTGTATTAAGCATGAAGATTAAAAAGTTTTTTTTAGAATATATTCAACAAATGTGCATGAGATATTTTGCTTAATTTTTTAATGAAAAATGTGAAAATATGATTGATGTTAGTGACTTTAGCATCTTAAATGAAAAAAAAAGAAAGATTATTATTTTTATGGGTGTATTAATAAAGTTGAAGTTAGAGAGGCTTTATAGAAAATGAAGTGTGGAAAAGCTGTTGGACTTGATGTCCAATGGAGATGCGGAAATACTTAGGAGATTAAGGAATTTTTTGTCTTACTGAACTTTTTAATACTGTGTTGAAGACTAAAAAGAGGCCATATGAGTGGAGAATGAGTGTACTAAATCCTATTTTTATGAATAAAGGTGATGCACAGGGGTAATGTGTCATACTTTAAAACTATGGGAGCCAGTTATGAAGCATAGGTTGAGGCATGATACTAGTGTTTCTCCAAATCAGTTTGGATTTATGTCGGTTAGGTCTATTATAGAAGCCATACATTTATTGAGAGGTTTGATGGAGGAATATAAATAGAATAAGGAGGATCTTCATATGATATTTGTTAAATTAGAGAAAGTTTATGATAAAGTTTCAAGATAAGTGTTATGGAGAGTTCTTGAAAAGAAGTTAATAACACTTATATTCAAATCATTATTGATATGTATGCATGAGCTATTACTTATGTTCAAACACAAGGTGGTTTGACTAAATATTTTCCTATTTCGGTTGAATTACATTAAGGATTCAACCTTAAGCCCATATCTTTTTGCTTTAGTCATGGATGTTCTCACTAGACATTTGTAAGAGGATGTACCTTGGTGTATGCTTTTTGCTGATAATATTCTTCTTGTTGATAAGTCTATAGAGGGAATCGAAGGTAAACTTGAATTATGGAGGTCAACCTTAGAGTCTAAAGGTTTTCGTTTGAGTAGATCTAAAACTAAATATATATATATAGTGTAATTTTAGTAGCAATAGACCTAATGAGGGGATTGTGACTTTGGGCGATCAAGTAATTAATAAGAGTACATGTTTTAGATATTGTGGATCATTTGTTTAGAGTGATTGTGAAATAGATGGAGATATTATCAGTCGAATTCAAGTTGGATGGTTGAAGTGGAGGAATGCATCAGACTTGTTGTGCGATAGAAATGACCCCCTCAAACTTAAGGGAAAATTCT